CTTTAGTTGGCAGCCTGTTGAGAAGGTAGACTGCTGTATTTACAGCTTCAGCCTAGAAAAATTTTGGCAGCTTTTTTTCAAACAAGATACATCTTGCCATTTCCATTACAGTTTTGTTTTTTCTTTCACTCACACCATTTTTCTGTGGTGTGTAAGGAGTGCTCAGCTGGTGCTTTATTCCGGACCCTGCACAAATTTCTTGAAACTGGTTTGAGGTATACTCTGAACCATTGTCACTCCAGATGGTTTTCAAACTCAAACCAGTTTCATTCTCCACCATTTGCTTAAACCCCTTAAATATTGCAGTCACCTCACCTTTTTATTTCAGGAAGTAAACCTAGCACAGCCTGGTGAAGTCATCTATAAACAGCAGAAAATACATGCTGCCATTAAGAGAAGGCACCTGTATTGGACCACACACATCTGTGTGTATAAGCTGAAGCTTTTCAGCAGCTCTCCAGGATTGATTTGCTGGAAATGGTTGCCTACTGATTTTCCCCAGTTGGCAAACTTGCCGATACAACCTTCCTTTCCCATTTTCAGGCATGCATTGAACAAGTTCTCTCTCCTCATTTCCTTAACACCTGAATAGTGAAAATGCCAAGTCTTTTGTCCAAAGTTCAGTTTCAACACATTTTGCAGACAAAGCATGTAAAGCTGAGTTCCATTCAATTGGAAAGACTTTTTCCTAGCATTCTCACATTCATCAACTCTTCCCTAAGTTGTCTACTACAATGCAAGACAATTTTGAAAATGTAAGGAGTAGTTCTTTTCTAGCATTTGACCCAACTCAGCAAGCTTTGGTTGATTTCGGGTACATAAAGAACATTTGCAATATATTTGTGCCTAATGTAGTTGGGACAGCAACCTTACCTCTTCCTTGACTTCCACAAATTCTCCATTGCCAATCTTGACTTTGGAGTGAAAGAGTCTATCAATGCTCACAAAAGTTGACAGATTTGGAGTCATGTGGTTTGTACAACCACTATCAATCAGCCATACATCATCACACATGTTGTGGTTTGTGCATGAAGCCATGAAGAGCTGTTCTGCTTCTAGATTTCGTTGCTGACCTCCACACTGCACCTACTGCTCCTGCTGATTTCCTTTGCTTTTACACACTTTTTCTATGTGTCCATACTGCTTGCATGACTCGCATTGTATGCCACAACCAACACTATATTCTGGATGGTCTTCTTTTTGCAGTGCACACTGGAGGAAATGATCTTGGTCCACCACGTTTCCAACCTTGATTGTTGCTTCTCTTTTCCTTTCTTTTCACCACATATTTCTTGTCTTCCCTCCTTGCACTCTTCCTTTCTTCCTACAAACATGGCTGCCTCAGTTGAGTCTTCTTGCCTCAGTTGCCTCTTTGTTCCTGGGCTTGAAGTGAATGAACCAGCTCAACCAAGCTGATTCTAACATATCTTTTAAGTCTTCTAGGGACGAAATTTTTGCTTCAAACCTCTCAGGTAAGCTGACCAGGACCTTCTCCACTACCCTCTGGTTGGTTAGTTCTTCCCCTAGCAGTTTGATTTTGTTCACCACAGCCATAAGTCTGTCCACATATTCCTTGATAGATTCTGTCTCCTACATCTTGAGTACTTCAAATTCCCTTCTCAAGTTTAGAACTTGCATATTTCTTGTCTAGTTACTCCATCCAAAATCCTCCTTGAGAGTGTCCCGGGCTTGTTTAAGGGTCTCACATGCCATGATCCTAGAGAAGACCTGATCTGTCACGGCTGAATGTATACAAGACAATGCTCTTGGAGCTTTGGCTGCTTCTTCTTCATGAACTCTCATCTGGTTCAGCGTCGGGTTGGGTCCAAGTTGGGGAACTTATTTCTCCTCTTCCACATATTTCCACAAACCATGGCCCCTCAAGTCTGTTTTCATCTTGACAGCCCAAACATGGTATTGATCACCATTGAAAACTGGAGCAAAGATTGGAGCAGAGCTGGATGCCATGGAAAAGCCTGTTTGAGTTAATATTCTGGTCCTGAAAGATCAAGGAGGCTCTGATACCAATTGTAGGTTTTTTCAGAGTTCTAAGACTAAGAGAAAGAAGTATTTTTGTGCATGAGAGAGAGCTGAACAATAAAGGAAAAAACTGATGCAAAAACAGACTGCATTTCATTCATAAACAGAGAAAATATATGAACCTAATACATCACTGTTACAACTACTTTTCAGTATAAATAATCTTTAAATATACTACAATTTGAACCACCCTTAACAAACACAAAATTCACTGGGATTTTGTGGCTTAATCACCAGCTGTCTTCACCTAAACAACTCACAAAACATCTCCAAAAATGGACAAGAACTGCACTCGACAGACAGCCCCTTTTTGGTTCAAAAAACTAGCGCCAAACTTTCAAACCAGCCATGCAAGAACATTTCCAGCAAAATATCATTTACTTCAACAGTTTGAAAGAAGAAGCAGCCAAATTTCAAATCATGGTAATATGTTTGCCTTTTGTTGCTTTCTCTGTCTAGTTTGTGTTCAGTATCTAAATCATTTAGTCTAACATGGACACTTACAATAGTTTTGCATTGATAGTCACTGCACAAGGAAAGCACATGGGCTTGTGCCTTGCAATTACTGCTCTAAAAATTTGGTAGATTCTTCTAACCTTGTTGGTTTACATAAAATGCAAGATTTTGTGGCTCTGACCATATCTAGTCACTGGGTCCTGCTTTTATCAAAAGGGATTTTTGTCTGAAATTATCAAAACCTGGTTTTTGGATAAGCATATGATTTAGTTTTATTTCTACTTTCTTAGGAAATTAATTGCTTAACTTAAGTGGCCCTAAGAATTTTAATGCATCCCTCTTCGTATAAGAAAAGAAATGCATAACAACCATGTGCTACTGACCTACATGCAGCGTTGAGGCTTAACAACAATCAAAATCTATGGCCGATATCCCAACCACCTATACAGTTACTGATCACATGGCCTTATTTCCAATTAACACAACATAAAAATGATAACAATAAGTCATCATGTCTATACTTGTGGATATATATAGCACAGCTAGCCACTGACTTCTGCACAGCTCATAGTTGTGCTTAAGATTAATAAGCTCTATAACTCGGAGTTTTAGTTTGTTCAAGTCTCATTCTGATTGTTAATCATGATCATCTCAAAGAAACTTTATAAACTGGCAAGGAAGTGGCAGAGAATGGCTTTGGCAAAGCATAGGAGAATCTCGTATCCAAGAAGTGTACNGTAGTGCTCCCCATTGAATACTGGAGGTGACATCAGGGCTGATTGAGCAGCCATTGTTTCAAGTTTTGTGTCCGACGCAGGGTAAACAAAGGTGCAGATGCAGGTTGTTTTGGGCTGAAAATGGGAGGTGTTCTTGAGTAGAGGTTGATGACTGAGTGTAAGAGAGATTTCAGGTTGTTTTGGTGTAAAGCTCTGATACCATTTCTTATTGACTGTAAACAAATTATACATTTAACTTTTTGATGTGATGTAATTTCATTCATAATTTTTAATCTTGTGAATCCAAAAGGAAAAATTTTCCTTTCACGAATTGACTGTGAATGAGAAATGTTATTTTCGATTATATATATCTAGTAACCAACAACAACTTCATTCTTGGTGAATGCAAATTTTCATTTTACTGAATTCCTTTAAATTTATTCAAGTTTCTAGAGATCAGTTTAATCAGTTAACTTATTAAATACATAATACTTAGAAAAGCAGGGCTGCATATAAGCTGTGAAAGTTATAAAGGTAGAGGAGATTTAATGAGTACTAGAGGGAATGATTTCTTGAAGCTGAGTGATTGCCATGTCCTAACTACAGGGATTAGGGAAGGTAAAGCTTGACTACATTTTCTTGAATAACTGATACTAGGTATGTTCCCTTCATATGATACATTCTCAATCTGAATTTTCATTTTCTATTTCACCCTTTTCAAACGATTTCTTAGTTCCTGATCTTCATCAGGAATTAACCTTTGTTGAAAGTAGTTCTACTTCTTGTGACTTTTTTCCTAGCTTACATCGACTATTTCGGTTCTCAAAGGGGATCTATAACTATTGTACTTTATTTCATGCACACTTTTCTGGTTTGATAAATAACAGACTTCACTATGAAGATACATAGAACATGGAGAAAAGACAAGAAAAATCCTTAGGAACAATATTCCAAGGAATGGGGCCTGGCAAAACTAACTCATTTGTTACATCTGAGGAACATTATGTGTAACACAACCAAATTGATGGAATCTTAGCAAGTGAAGATCTAAAGATGACAAAATTATTTCCATAATGTTATCCAAGCAGTTTGGTTTGAAAGAGGAAGCGACGAATTTCCAAATTATGTTACATTTTTGGCCTTTTGTTGATTTCTATGTCTTCAGTATCTCAATCATATAGTCTAACATGGATAATTACAATAGCTTTGCATTGATAGTCTCAGCATAAGGAAGCACATGGGCTTGTGCCCTGCAATTCCTGCTCTAAAAAATTGGTAGATTCTCCTAATCTTGTTTGTTTGCACAAGCATGAAAGATTTTGTGCCTCAAACCATCTCTAGTCGTTAGGTCCTGATTTTCTCTAGAAGATTTTGGTCAACAAAATCTGAACATACTTCCAAAAACAACATGATTCTATTTGATTTCTGTTTTCTCTTGGGAAGTTTAATGCTTAACTGGGCCTAAGAATTTTAATGCGTTCCTCATTGGCAGAAGAAAACATGTGTCGCAACTAAAGTGATATTGGCCTACATGGGTGTTGATGCTCAACAATAATCCAAACATATGCCCAATATCGCAACCACTTATTCAGGTGATGATCACATGGCCTTACTTCCAATCAACACAACGCAAGGAAGACAACAATGAGTGGTCCTGGCTATACTTGTGAATATATATATATCACAGCTGCCCACAAACTTCAGCACAGCAAGTAGTCCTGCTTAAAAACACAAGCTCCATAACTACTGAGTTCTAGTTTTTCCGAGGTCTAATTCTAACTTGCAATCATGATCAACCCAAAAAGGCTTATTGAACTGGCAAGGAAGTGGCAGAGAATGGCTTCTGCAAAGCGTAGGAGAATCTCGTATCCAAGAAGTTTTGTTGCTGATGAAGGCCATTTTGTTGTGTATACAACTGACAAGAAAAGGTTCATGGTTCCCTTGGAATATCTCAGCCAAAATGTCTTCATAGAGCTCTTGAGAATGTCTGAAGAAGAGTTTGGTCTTCCAACTGAAGGAGCTATCACATTGCCTTGTGATAGTACCCTCTTGAAGTATGTCATTGCATTGGTCCGAGGACGCATGCCTGCAGAATTAGAGAAGGCTTTACTCACTTCCATAGCTACATGTCACCAGTTGGCATCATGTTCTTTTGCACAAGGACAAAGCCACCACCAACAAACACTGATATTTGGTTATTGAAAATATTTTTATAGCAATGACTCTGTAGACTTATTGACTGTAAACAGATTATACAATTAGGTTTTGATGTGATGTAACTTCATTCATAATTTTTAGTCTTGTTAATCCGGAAGGAAACTTTTTTCTGTCAGTATTGACTGTGAATGAGAAATAGATTTTTCAGATGAATGTTTCTTGTAACCAATAGCAACAAACTACTTGTACTAGTGAATGCAAATTTTCATTCTACTAAATTCCTTAATATTTATTTGAGTTTCTATAGATCAATTTAATCAGTTACCGTAGTTTACTCAGAAAAGCAGGGCTGCATATAAGCTGTGAAACTTATAAAGGTACTGAAGATTTNAGAAGAATTGGGCTTTAGAAGAAATGAAGTTTGGGCTTAATAGAGCTGAAAAACCAGTTGGGCTGTATGGGTTTAATGGAGGAATTATTTCAGTTGGGCTGGGTAAACAGGGAATAACACATACAATTGAGTGTGGGCTTGAGCAATTGGAGAATGGACCTGGAAGTGGACTCGGGTCAGCTAGGTATGGGTCAAGGCGGGTAATTGGATCAAGAGAAATTGGATCTAAGGTTCATATACAACACAATCGCTCATTCGACAGCCCTAGAACATATCCCTTTCTCAATCAACAACGACACTCCATCAACCCCTCGTCGGAGCACCGACCATGGGAGCAGAGGCAGTTGAGCCCGGCGCAGAATTTAGATCACAAGAGTAAAAGATGGACAGCTCTTCGAAAGATCGATTCCAACCTCTCTCAACTGCGAACAACCCCTTCCCATCGAATGACAGAAGATGAGAAAGAATTGAGTAAGGAAGAAGAGGGCAGTAAAGGAGTAGAGGAGCGGTGTGGTGTCGGGTGAAAATTTTCCATCTCCCCACCTTGAGGACAAGGTGGTTCTTCAAGGGGAGGGTAATGATAAGACCTCCCATTAGTAAAATCTATCAATATAAAGGGCATAAAGGGTAGTAGGGTACTGGTTGTGTGAGTGGGCATGTGTGCTAGTGGGAGTTGGTTGGGAAATATCACGTGATGGGGAATCAAGTTGTTAGTGGGAGGAATATTTTAGTTAAGGGATTAGTATATCAAGGGAGGGGAGTTTTAGGGAAGGATAGGCATATTTTCAAAGGGTCATTAAGGGAGGTCCCCAGGTCCTCGAACTAATAGGAATTATCTGTTCTTTGGCTTGTTGCTATTTTTATTTTGTTCCGTTAAAATCTCATTTCTATTCAATCAATACAATACAGTTTTAATTCTAGAATAGGATTGCCATATTATGCATTTTGGACTGTTTTGTGGCTGCATTTGTTTTAAATTGACAGAGGTTCTCATCAATAAATAGAAATAGCATGAGAAATATCTTCTCTTCTGTCTGTTTGTCCCTTTAGGGAAATTTCCTGTACTCTGTGGGGAGTTTTAGTAAGAACATAGCCTCAAGGCATCTTTGTCGTGGAACATATTTCGATATATCCACCATGCCAGCATAGGTTTTGGAGCAACAAATTTCGATCCTTGTGCCACATAAGTACAGTACTTCTGAGCTATACACACGTAGTTGCTCTCTTATTCTAAATTGTCCATTCACGAGTCCCCAATATACAGTGTCAGGCAATAGGCAGCATGATAAGCCCCAAGAAATTCATGATCAGGCTGGTGAGGAAGAGCCAGAAGATGGAAGACGTGAATGCGGGTAATTTTAATAAATCATCAGTCGCTGAGAAAGTCCATTTTGTTGTCTACACCACTGATCAAAAGCGCTTTGTGTTTCCCTTAATGTATCTCAACAATGACATCTTCCTTGTGCTCCTATAGGCGTCTGAGGAGGAGTTTGGACTATCAAGTGATGGCCCTAGTACATTGCCATGTGATGCAGTCTTCATGGATAAATTAGTCTCACTCATTCAGCAAGGTGTTAGTGAAGGTCTCAAGAAAGCTTTGCTTGATTCGATTACTGCCAGCCACTGCTCATTTTCTGCTTCTTTCCATCAAGTACACGCAGGCCAACTTTCAGTTTGTGGCTACTGAATTGTATTATAATCCCAATTGGGTTCTGTAAATGAATGGAACTTCTGTGTATATATTGTTTTTGCACTATACATCTTTTGATAATTCAAAAGAAATTTTCAGTCTAAAATAGTAACTATGTAGTATGAATCAGTATAGCATATCAATAGAACACAATAAGGATCAACTCCTTGAAACTTTTCTGAAAGTTCTTGTGCATGTTAGAAACAAATAAATATTTTGCACTTAATCTCAAATTGCTTAATGAGGAATTCAAATGTAGGAAGTTCTGTTAAAACTGATCCCCGGAGGCTCTGGAAAACCATTGGCTTTAAGAATCATATCAAATCTCTTCAAATAAGTACAGTGAGCATTAATCTTACAAGGACATATAGATAGGCTCAGAAAGAGAAAAGAAACTCATTCTACTGAACTTACGCGCCCTTTGGAAATTAAGCCTAATTCCCAAAATGGAAAGTTCACCCTTGTGTGCTATTCTTAGAACAACCAGGTTTTACAGTTGATTAAATGATGCTAATGTTGTAGTTTATGCCATGATTTGACTATGTAGAATGAGTTGCAACATNTCTTCCTAGTTTATGTCACCTCTTTTGGTTCTTATAGAGAATCTATAACCAACTTACTTGTCATGGACTCACTTTTGGCCCAAAGTAAGTTCCTTGATAAATAACAGAATTCACTATGAAGATACATCGAACATTAAGAAAAGACAAGCAAAATCCTTAGGAAAAATATTCCAAGAAATGGGGCCTTGAAAAACGATCTCATTTGTTCCATATGAGGAACCTTACGTGCAACATAATCAGTTTGATGGATTCTTGGCAAGGACTTATTTCAGGCAGTTTGGTTTGAAAAAGGATGCAGGCAATTTGCAAATCATGTTAATTTGTTTGCCTTTTGTTGCTTTCTATGTCTCCTTTGTGTTCAATATCTGAATCATATAATTTAACATGGAAAATTACAATAGCTTTGCATTGATAGTCACAGCCCAAGGATAGCGTATGGGCTTGTGCCTTGAAATTCCTGACCTAAAAGGTTGGCAGATTCTTCAAACCTTGTTTGTTAACATAAGCATGGAAGATTTGTTCTAAAACCGTATCTAGTCATTAGTTTTTATATAAAATTTGCAGAACATGGTGTGGATAACCATATGATTTTGTTCTATTTCTATTCTTTTAGGAAATTAATTGCTTAACCTAAGTGGCCCTAAGAATTTTAATGCATCCCTCTTTGCAGAAGAAAACAAATGCATAACAACCAAGTGATGGAGGTCTACCTGCAGAGTTGATGGTTAACAACAATCAAAATCTATAACCAGTATCCCCACCACCTATTCAGTTTTTGATCACATGGCCTTACTTCCAATCAACACAACATAAAGAAGACAACAATAAGTGATTCTGTCTATAGTTGTGAATATTTATATATCCCAGCTAGCCACTGACTTCTGCTCACCACAACACATAGGCCTGCTTAAGGGAAAAAAGCTATATAACTCAGAGTTCTAGCTTGTTCAAAGTTTCATTCTGATTTTTTATCATGATCAACACAAAAAAGCTTCACAAACTGGCAAGGAAGTGGCAGAGAATGGCTTCTGCAAAGCGGAGGAGAATCTCGTATCCAAAAAGTGGTGCGGATCTGGATCCATTAGTTGCTGATAAAGGCCATTTTGTTGTGTATACAACTGACGAGAAAAGGTTCATGATTCCCTTGGAATATCTCGGCCAAAATGTCTTCATAGAGCTCTTGAGAATGTTTGAAGAAGAGTTTGGTTTTCCAACTCATAGAGCTACCACAATGATAGTAGCCTCTTGGAGTATGTCATTTCATTGGTCCAAGGACGCATGCCTGCAGAATTAGAAAAGGCTTTACTCACTTCCATAGCAACATGTCACCACTTGGCACCATCTTTTCTTGCTCAAGGACAAAGCCACCAACAAATACTTATATTTGGCTATTCAATTTTTTTTTTTGACAGCAATGACTAGTAGACTTACTGACTGTATACAGATATACATTTTTATAAACTTTTGATTTGATGTAACTTCATAAGTAAAAGTTTTCTTTCATAAATTGACTGTGAATGAGATTTTTAATTTTTGTTTTCTAGTAATTATAGTAACTTGCTACCAATTCTGATAGATGCAAATTTCATTTTAATAATTCAAGTTTCCTGAGATCTGTTTAATCAGTTCAATTAAATTAAACTCATAATACTCAGAAAGCAGAGCTGCATACAATCAGTTACCTAATTATGTGTAGTTATGTGAGTTTTGTTTCTCCCATAGATATTCTTTTTCTTATTTCAGTCTTTGCAAAAAGATTATTCCTCCTGGTGATCTTCATCTACATTTAGTATCTGGTGATGTAATCTTATTCAGGAAGAAATCACCACAGTTCCTTCTAAGTCATTTTTCAATTAAATTCTTAACCTTTGTCGAAGGTAGTTCCACTTCTTGTGAGTTTCCTCCTAGTTTATATCAACTCTTGTGCATGGGTCATAGAGAGTATCTATAACCATCACCCTAACTGATAGGGGCCGCTTTGTTCTTTACCATAAGACAGAAGAGATGTGCTCTTCTAAGAAATGTTAATTTTCCAGGCGTCTGCTAACAGCCCACAGGTCTATTCCCGTATAACTAACTAGATTCTTTTGCATCGAAAAATTCACAACGGAAGGAACCTGCATGGCTAAAAGTGTTGTCTTTGTTTCTCAATCATTTGCCTATATAAGTAACATACTTCTATGCTTCTAAACAGAAAACTGGTACCATTTGAGGTTTAACAAATCCAAAAATCTTTTTCTTTTCCTGATAAAAGTTATAGACGCCTAATATACTGACTGAGGCAGCATGATCAGCCCCAAGAAATCCACCTACTTAAAGAAGCTGAAGAAGATGGCCAAGGGGGAAAAAAGAATGTCTTTACTAAGAACCAACGAAGAACTGGATGTGCATAGTGCTAAGAGACCCTCAGTAGCTGGAAAAGGCCATTTTGTTGTCTACACCACAGATCAAAAGCGTTTTGAAATTCCCTTGTTGTATCTCAACAACAACATCTTCCTTGAGCTCTTAAAGGTGTCTGAAGAGGAGTTTGGAATATCAAGTGACGGGCCAATAACATTGGCATGTGATGCAGTTTCCATGGATTACATAGTCTCTCTTATAAAACATGGTGCAGATAAAGGCTCCGAAAAAGCTTTTATTGATTATATAACTGCAAGTCACTGCACATCTTCTTCTGCCACATTCCTTCAAGAATTTACAGGAAACCAATCACTTGTTTGCGGCTGCTGATAACATCGATGTTGCATTTCAGTTTTTTAATTTTTTTTCAAATTTTTATAATTTTTTTACAGTTCGGGTTGGAAGTATTTGCAATTTGTGGTGGTTTGTGGCGGTGGTGATGGTTGTATTTGGTGGTTCTGGTGGCGAGTTTGGAGCTAGTGGAGGTCCCGACTGAGACAAGAACAATTTCATTTTTCTTTTTCATAGGTTTCAACAATTGGTTTTAGGGGTTTGATTTTTGATTTTTTTTTTTCTTACATGATTGTTTAGTTGAGATGTAAGATGAATTTGATTATGAAGTTGAGATGGAGGATGAATTTTGAATGTGGCATTGAGATGGGGATGAATTTCAATTGTGTTTGTATTTATGGGAGGTGATTTTTTTTGGTGAATCTAGATGAATTTGATTAGAGTTTGACTTAATGGGAGTTGACAGTTTATGCAAATCTTGGTGAATGAAAGATTGTAGTAGTCATTCACTGTAATAGTTCATGAGCATCCCCTTAAGCATATGTAAAAGGGTTGCGATTCCGATTTGACCGCACTGCTCCTTCATTTGCAACTTTTCATGTACAATCTTGTTTGTAAGATTTTTGTGAAATCTGTTTTGGAAGACTTCTTCAAATTTTGCTGCGTGATTAAGTTTAACTTTTTTATTAATTGAAGTTGTTTTAATAATGGTGGATTTATGGATTAATTTAAAACTAAAGAGGAATATTGAAGATTATTTTTTGGTTGGACATAAAATTACCATATTATCCTTCTTTAAATGAACTTTACTAACAGATTTAGATGGAAAGTGGTTAATTGTCATTTTTCAAATTTTTTGAGTATCAAATTGTCTTTACGGCAAACTATGGGTAGGCGTATATCGTTTAACCTACTTTTTTTCATTGTAAACTAGTGAATATATTTAGAATGAAATAGCTTGCATAGCTAAACCGAATGCATTTCACCTTAGCAACTTTCTAATTAAGTCTTTGTACGTTACAGCCACAGGCAACTGAGGCTGAAATATCAGATACACATGATTTTACAAAATTCAGTCTATAATTATCATCATAATTGTCTCATATTTTCGCATAACCATCACAGGCTTGCCATGATGTTAAGGCTAGTTGCAATATAGAGACTAGACAGTACTCAGAGTACTTGAATATCTAAACAAAGTTTATTCAAACATAAACGGATCCATTGGTCAAAGTTAAATGATTATATATTTTTAGTTTAAACTAAGATGCGTTGAAGGAAGAAGTTCAACCTATTTAAAAAACTTCATTTTCCTGTATCCAAATACTCCCATTTGAGCTTCTGACGAACACTTTGTATGACATGTCTAACTCTGTCAATGATAGAACAACTCAAAAGTCTAAACTAAGGACAATTGTTAGCATAATGTGGTTAAAGGAGTTTGCTCTGGCAGAAGAACATAGTTATTTATGTACTACCATGCAAACTTTGTTTGGTTATTGTTGTTTTCTACTCTCTTTTATATTCAGTATAAAATACATAACAACTGTAAATAACAGAATAAGTTTCTAGCATTGATATCCCATAGACCTACTATTTTATTTTCCAAGTTTTTGTATGGTATTGGTAATGCTTTTATTACTACGTTTACTTTTCATTTAGTTTTATCCGAAGGCTTTAATCTTGTCGCATAACATAGTTTGACCTCAACAAAACAGAGACAGCAGCGAGAACAAAACAATAATAAAGTAAATCATAGATAATAAATACAGAAAAAATAACAAGTGCGATTTATCCTGATTTACCCAATATGGGTTACGTCAAGTCGAGTCAATATTATTGCAATATTTCCTCACCTCTCTCTCATTTACAATGAATAAATGAATTACCTTATAATTTGCTATCACACTCATAATAAGAGAAAAGTATATTTATATACTAGGTTTAAGTGACAAAACTTAGTTTACAAGCATTCTTATTCTTAAGCCCAACCCAATAAGGAATTAATAACTTAAAGAAATCCTACAGTGGTTATACATGGAAAAGACCCAAACCGCCTACGGGCCTGGGGGCGCTACCCCCACAGCCCTCGCCCAGTCATTGGGGAGCGGGGCCCTTACCCATTGACCGGACAACAGGACCTCCGAATGCGTCAACGTAACCCAGTAATACTGAAGTAGTCGAAAACTCCAACATGACCAACGTTGAGAATAGTTTCTTGATTCTTATGTACTCGATATTTCACTCTTTCTTGATCTGTATGTTGTATCATTGTTAATATCAATGCTTTAGTGATTCCAAATACACCGATGTTTTCCGTACAGGTGAAAATTTCAAGTAGCATAAGGTTATTTTAACAAGAAAACATGCATAAACATCCAAAATTTAGTTAAAGAATTCCAACATTGTGGTCTTAAGCTGTATCTTTAGAATATCAGTTCTACCATAGAAAGCATCTACAAGCTGGAAGCTACCAACCTCAAACCTCAATTAGTACTTTAGTTTTAGCTCCCAATCTGAGATGAGAGAATCTTTTTCTTATATTATTAATTCTAGTTCTTCTAAACTTGTTCAAGGACATAGCCAAAATAAGTTCATTATTAAATTAAGAATCATCAAGAAGATGCATATAACAGGCGGTAGAGACAAGCAGAATCCTAAGGAGGAAGTCAAAACACGGGGCTAGCAAAACTATCCCTTTTGTTCCACCTGAGTAATATTATATACGATCTAACCAACCTGACAGAAACTTAGAAATAAATGAAGAGCTAAAAACATAAGTTAGTTATTTTCATAAGAAGAAACTATGTTAGACTTTTGGTCTCACAAAAGAATATTGCTCAATAATGAATAAACCATATGATTTTGTTGGAATCTTTTCCTTTTTTAATGCCTAATTTAACTGGGTCAGGAATTTTAATGCATTGCACTGGCAGAAGAAAACAAATGCGTAACAACCAAAGTGACAGTGGCCTACCACTCATTTTTCTAACCACCTACCTAGTTTGGTGTGCCTTTCTTGAAATCATCACAACATCAAGAAGACAACATCCATGGTTCTGTCTTTCTTATATATATATATATATATCACAAGTTGTGATTCACAACTGCCATTGGCTTCTGCACACACTCAAAATCCTGCTTAAAACATGGGCCCTGCAACTCAAGAGTTCTAGTTTTTTCAAAGTCTCATTCTAATCTTCAATCATGATCAACCCAAAAAGGCTCATTGAATTGGCAAGGAAATGGCAGAGAATGTGAGACATCCCACATTGCTTGGGAAGGAGGGGCCTGAGCTAGTTAAATACCAGGGGAATCCCCAATAGTTAAGACACACATTTTGGGCTTGAGCAAGGGTTATTGGGCTTGAAAACAAAACAGTGAGGGGCTGGGCTTCAAAGTCGGACCACCCAGGCTGTCAAAACAGACAATATCTTGGCTGTGTTGGATCGACAGTGGGCTAGGGTGTTCACAATTGATATTAGAGCCAATCCCTACCGGAAGTGTATGGATAGTCAAGAGATCTCGCTTGGCCCAAGAGGGATCGTAGCGAGGACACTGGATCCTTGAAAACAAAACCGTGAGGGGCTGGGCTTCGGAGTCGGACCACTCAGGCTACCAAAACAGACAATGTCTTGACTGTGTTGGGTCGACAATGGGCCGGGGTGTTACAGAATGGCTTCTGCAAAGTTAAGGAGAATCTCATATCCAAGAAGTTTTGTTGTGAATAAAGGCCATTTTTGTGTGTATACAATTGATAAGAAGAGGTTCATGGTTCCCTTGGAATATTTGAGTCAAAATGTCTTCGTGGAGCTCTTGAGAATGTTCAAGGAAGAGTTTGGTCTTCCAAGCGATGGAACCATCACATTGTCTTGTGATAGTACCCTTTTGGAGTATGTCATTTAATTGGTCCGAGGTCACATGCCTCGAGAGTTAGAGAAGGCTTTGCTAACTTCTATAGCAACATGTCACCATTCGACATCATCTTCTCTTGTTCAAGGATAGAGTCATGAACTGAAAAGGAAAACCAAATAGGGCAGAAAAAAAGAGAGTATCGAAGAGGAAAAAGAGAATGTGTTTTTTGTATTAATCCTTAACAGTAAAGTAGAGATTATAGCTTTTTATATTAGGCTGCGGTACTAACTGATTTAACAGTAATAAGTTATACAAGAAACATCAGTGTATTAGTCAATATCAGATTTTGACTTTTACTTTATTGTCAATATGCTCCCTCAAATGTGACTACACAAAACTTCAACACTGCATAAACCTTCAACAACTTTTATTCCACACTTTAGTAGCTTTTCTTCCATCCTTCTTGTACTTCAATATGCTCCCTCAAACATAACTGCATAAAACTTCATCATTGCTTTACTAATCTGTGACTGCATAAAACTTCATCATGGCTATACTAATCTATGATTACTAATTAGGACTAAAAAATGCTTGTTGCAAGTGTAGTTAATACAGTTAGAGCTTAAAAAATCCAGAATTAGAACAACAAGCTGTTAACCGCAAATAGCAATCTTCCTAGCTGTAGTCTTCACCAAGTATAGTGACATTCAACTTTGCCCTTAGATCAGTGAATTGACCAACTGATAAAGCCTTTGTGAGAACATCAGCTATTTGTAACTTAGAAGGAACATATTGAATGGCCACCTTTTTGGCTAAAACTTGCTTCCTAATGTAATAAGCATCAATTTCAATGTGTTTAGTCCTGGCATGAAACACAGGATTAGATGTAAGAGCTCCAGCACTCACATTATTTCACCAAATGACTGGAGTAGCGTGAAAAACCAAGCCTAATTCAGTAAACAAACTCTCCAACCAAGCTACCTTTGTTGCCGTATGAACTAAGGCTCTATATTCAGCTTTAGTGGAGGAAAGAGCAACTACTTTCTATTTTCTAGAACTCCATTGAATCAAATTTGGTCCTAGATAAACACAATAACCACTGGTTGATCTCTGATCTTCAAGATTTCCACCCCAATATGCATCAGCATAGCATTCAATATGTAATGCCTTTGCTGGTTTGAAAAATAAGCCATAGTGGATAGTACCTTTAATATACCGTAGCACCCTCTTGCAAGCTTGCCAATAGAGTTCAGTGGGGACTTGTAAAAATTGACTCAGCTTATTCACAGTGAAACTTAGATCAAGTCTTGTTAGGGTCAAATATTGTAATGCACCAATCGTACTCCTGTA